GGTCCCGAAAAACCCCTCTTTATTTATCTCCTGCGAATTAATGGCATTCACGCACCAAAAAGTCCAGGTAAGGAGTTAACTGCAGCAACAGACCTTATCAGTTCCTTGTGATAATTGCCAGGCCGTGAGCTCCCAGCGGCAAAGCTGCAAATTAAGTTCTGGTAAGCAGACTCTGAGGCATGAAACACAATGAGCCAAATCTTCAGAAATCCGAACGGTTGTCTCCTACGACCACCAGTCCCCTTTCCTTCTATTTATTCCCCAGACAGGGAGGGGCCATTCAGTGTCCACATGTGCCTTGCTTCCTGAGTCAACTCCTTGTCCTCCGTTGTTCTCCTCTCCTAACAGCTCTGCGCATACACGCATCTGGAACAGGCCCCAGCTGTTCTTCCCCACTTATCTCAGCCTCCAAAGGCAGCTGCCTCTCCGGTAGCTGGGAAATGTCGGATGGCCCTGCTTCTATCTCTGTGTCCGACGCAGAGCATCCATCAGAGCCTTCCCCAGACTCCGGAGCTGGCCCAAGTTCCTCCCCTACCTCCTCATCGTCCGAGTCTGCCACCAGCTCCGCTGGCAGTTGGCGGCCCACAACATATATCTATACCCCTGCCACAAAGATATCGGGACATCCAGCCTGGGCATTTGGTATGTCTAACTAAGGGGGAACCAGGGAGTACCGTATTTTTCAGAGTATAAGACGCAGCTACCTTTTTTGGTGAGGAAAACAAGAAAAAGAAATCTGCCTCTGCCTCCCAGCAATTTTGCCTCGTTGCAGCAAACAGCCTGCTTTACTTTCATTTTCGTTTTCAGCATAGCTTGATTAGCACAAGGAAAAAAAAAAATCTGCTCCCAGCAATTTACCTCCTTGCAGCAAGCGGCAGAGGCCCCCGCAGCAATAGGCAATGGCCATCCCTGCAGCCTGAAACAGCTGAGAGTTGGGGGACAATCAACGTGCTGATTAGGCTGTGTTGAAGCTGAAATGGGCTGCCTCTTCTTGCTGCTTGCTGCAAAGAGGTAAATTGCTGGGAGGCAGAGGTCAAAGGGTGGGGGCCAGTGGGTGGGCAAGGCTACCTTCGGTGAATAAGACGCACCTAAATTTTCACCTCCTTTTAGGGGGGAGAAAAGGTGCATCTTATACTCCGAAAAATACGGTAGTTGATTCCTCATTTGTATAACAGGCAATTACGCATTTTGGTGGTGTTTGTGCAGTTCAGTTCCCTAGGCAATAACTGCAGCCTATTGGTCAGGTCTGCCTCCCTCCCACCCAACCTTTCCAGCTATGAATATTCATTTTCTAAGGTAGCCATGTCAGCTTCTGCCAGGATCATGCCAACTGTCTAACAGAAGTGGCGAAGCTTAACTAGAACGGTGACAGCTTGGGAACAATTTAGACTGACTTGGAAGGAGGACGCTGACATTTTTAACAGAACGTATGGCAATCTGTATAAACCAAGATGTCCCAGCATCCTCCTATCATATAGGAACAGACCAAGGATCGTCTGTCTTCAGATGTTGCCAGAATGCTGATGGGAGGACCGTAATTCCTCCCCCACCAGCTACGGTAGAAAAGAACATGGCCATTTTAACTAAAAGCCACTCACCTGCTTGTCCAGGTACATCATGCCAAATCTCTCTGTAAAACAACACCACCTCCCTTTTTATTTATTTATTTATTTATTTAATTTGTATACCGCCCTACTCCTGAAGGACTCAGGGCGGTGAACAGGCACAGAAATAAAACACGTAAAATACAAAAATTAAGAGCAGAAGTAAAATCGAATTAAATCAATTTAGCCCAAGACAAATTTAAAACCCCAGGTTAAGAACAAATTAAAATTTACATTAAAAAAGAATGCGAAAGGTTAGGCCAGACCAGCCTGGTGAAATAAAAAGGTCTTGAGAGCGCGGCGGAAGGTGCGTAGATCCGGGATCCTCCGTATTTCCGGGGGGAGCTCGTTCCAGATCGTAGGTGCCCCCACAGAGAAGGCTCTCCCCCTGCGGGCCGCCAGCCGACATTGTTTGGCCGATGGCACCCGAAGGAGCCCCTCTCTGTGAGAGCGTACCGGCCGGTGGGAGGCTATTGGTGGTAGCAGGCGGTCCCGTAAATAACCAGGCCCTAAGCCATGGAGCGCTCTAAAGGTGGTAACCAAAACCTTGAAGCGCACCCGGAAGACCACCGGGAGCCAGTGCAGCTCGCGCAGGAGAGGTGTTACATGGGAGCGCCACGTCGCTTTGGTCCTTGTATGATCTGTGGACTTCAACTCCCAGAATTCCTCAGCCAGCAAGTCATAAAGGGGCCGCCTCGGCTTTAAAAAGCCATCGCCACAGACTGTTAGGATTATGAAGCACAACCTCTAAGAATCCTACCCAAATCCCGGGGCAGTCTTGCTTTCTGAAAAGGGGTCCTTGGAACTGCCAGATCAGGGGTGAAATCTAAAATTTATTACTACCGGTTCTGTGGACGTGGCTTGGTGGTGGGGGTGGGGGTAATGTGACCGGGTGGGCATGGCCAATTTTTTTTTTTTTTTTTTACTTTTAAAACCAGTTTTTCTACAAAACTCTTCGGCAAAAATGCTTTCAAGTTCTTTTGGTAAGTTCTTTTGATATGGCCCAAGGGCTAATCAAAAAAAGTAAAGTAAGTAAGGTAGAGTAAGTGAAAGATAAATATATAAAGAAGAGCTGGGTGAAGGAGAAGATGGAGAGAGAGGAGGGAAAAATAAGGTGGGAAACTAAACGGAATATTGGCCTTGTGCGTGCATGTACGGGGGTGGGAGTGTCACATGCACACGGGCGGGGACCGGGGAGAGAGCGGTACCCCCCCACCCACCCATTTTGGGCTTAGCAGGCCTCCCTGAAGCCTCCTGGGACCAAAAACGGGCCGGTCCCAGAAGTCTTCAGGGAGGCCTGCTAGACCCAAAATGGGGCACAGGGGGGTTGCGCACGCATGTGTAGGGGGCGGAGGGAGCATGGGGGGGGTCACATGCGTAGGGGGGCGGGGGAGTGCAGCGTGCATGTGCAAGGCATTGCATTATGGGTGTGAGCGCACACGTGCGCGCTGTCGCTCGTACGGACATGCTTTTGGCACCCGAGAGAAAAAAGGTTAGCTATCACCGTCCTATGCCTTTAGTGATGTCAGGCAGTGAAGAATTAGGACCGCAGGTTCAGCTCCAGTTCAATTGATTTATTGCTCATAAATAAATGAGAATCTACTAACGGTCAGCACTAAATTGGCCCTAGATAAGAGTTAACGGAATTCAAAACCCGATTTAGACCGTTTGTGGGAACGTAAGGACTCCGGGCTCATTCCTCTCTTGACTCTGCCCCCCCCCCAAGGCTCTGATCACTTACAAGTGATAGTAGAATAAAGCTGGGGTGTTGTTAACACACTGCCTATGGCAGCAAAACAACCCCAAACATCTAATCTTGTGGTTACTGCCTTCTAAATGCTATCCACTTGATAATATGACTCCTCGCAGAATGTTTGATGGATGATCATGGAACCAAAACTGCAATCTCGATAAAGACATTTGGAAATATTGTCTTCCGCTCAAACTTGAGCTGCCCTTACTCCCTGAGTAAGGCTCCAGGAGCTCACAAGCTTTCACCTGGTTTAGTAAATACTACACACCTGAAATGTAGCTATGCAACTTTTGGGCGTACAAAGCTGGAACGGAGTCTTACCAACCCAAGTTGTGAAAGGAAGGTTGACTTCCACCGGTAGGTAGGAACCGGCTCTACCATTGTTTCAAAATCCTGGGCTTTGCTCTACATCTGGTTGCTTGTCTGGGATGTAGATTAGGCCCTTCCTTTCCTCCAAGCATTAGCTGGCTCTTTTTTTTTTCTTTTTCTTTTTCTTTCTTGTTCTGTGTTCTTGTTATTTATTTATTTATTTATTGGTTCGATTTATATGCCGCCCTTCTCCGGAGACTCAGGGCGGCTTACAATGCGTTAAGCAATAGCCTTCATACTTTTGTATATACCTGCTTAGTAGGGCTTTCACCCTCCCCTCCCAAGCGGTGTTCTTTTTTATATGCAAAGTCAGCTTATTGCCCCCACAATCCGGGTCCTCATTTTACCTACCTCGGAAGGATGGAAGGCTGAGTCAACCTTGAGCTTGTTCACAATACTGTGAAGAGTCCTTAGACAATTCGTCTGACTTTTGTCGTGGGTTAAATATTTTTTTGCTCTTGACTCAGCCTATTTTATTCTGCTCTCAGCTGTAATTCCATTTTTAATATCAATTTCAAACATTTGGACATTATTTTGATTTTATTATATGCTGCTTTGGGGCCCAAAATATGGTATCTGTGTATTTTTTTTTAAATTTGATTTATATGCCACCCTTCTCTGGAGACTCAGGGCAGCTTACAATGCGTTAAGCAATAGCCTTCATATTTTTGTATATTTATACAAAGTCAGCTTATTGCCCCCACAATCCAGGTCCTCATTTTACCTACCTTAGAAAGGCTGAGTCAACCTTGAGCCTGGCGAGATTTGAACCTGCAGTAATTGCAGGCAGCTGGTCTTAATAACAGGGTGCTTTAGACCACTGTACTACCAAGGCTCTTTTATTGTTTAAACAAAGAAATAAGGAGCATGTATTAGTTAGCCTCACTGGCACATGCTTTCTAAAGTAACAATTTGTACTTTAATCAGAATAGAGCTGGGAGGGACCTTGGAGGTCTTCTAGTCCAACCCCCTGCTCAAGCAGGAAACCATTATACCATTTCAGACAAATGACTATGCAATCTCTTCTTAAAAAGCTCCAGTGATGAAGCGCCCACAACTTCTGGTGACAAGCCATTCCACAGGTTAATTGTTCTCATTGTTAGAAAGTTTCTCCTTAATTCCAGGTTGCGTCTCTCCTTGATTAGTTTCCATTCCATTGTTTACAAAACAAACACTGAAGGACTCTTGATGTGGCAGGGAATAAGTGGCATAAAATATGGAGCTTTTATGTTTTGGGAGAAGAGACTGAAATTAATAACTCTGATCTTTCCTAGGTTTAGGCCAAAGCACCCGAAGACAAGGAATAATGGATGGAAACTGAGCCAGGAGAGATTCAACTTGGAAATAAGGAGAAATTATTTCTGACAGTGAGAACAATCAACCCGTGGAACAGAAGTTGCCTTCAGAAGTTGTGGGAGCTTCATCACTGGAGGCTTTCAAGAAGAGACTGGACTGCCATTTGTTAGAAATGGTGTAGGGTCTCCTGCTTGGGTGGGGGGTTGGAATAGATGACCTACAAGGTCCCTTCCAACTCTGTTAATCTGTAATCTGGGGGCCCCCCAGATATATCGGGTCTGCAGTTCCTCAAATTCCCAGCCAGTCTCACTCCTTGGAGGCAAATTGGGGAAGGGTGCAACATGCCGCTTTAGGTCAGGGGTCAGCAATCTGCAGCTCTGGAGCCGTATGTGGCTCTTTCATTCCTCTGTTGCGGCTCCCTGTTGCTGGTCGGCTCCACAATTGCTAGGGCTTACGGTTAAGATAGGTAGAGGAAAAAGAATGCCATGCTAGGAGGAGACTCTATGGGGGGGGAACCGGACTTCCGGTCCGCAGAGGAAAAAGGACGCCACGCTAGGAGACTATGATGGGGGAAACGGACTTCCGGTCGGCTCCAGAATTGAACGGGGGGCTTCCGGTTAGGACCTTTGTGGCTCTTTGTTTAAGGTTGCCGATCCCTGCTTTAGGTGAAATATGGGGGGAAATGCTCTTGGGAGAAAGCGATCGGCTTTGGGGCACCACGAAGACAAATTTGAGGCAAGATATGACAGTTCAGGACTGTTTCCCTTGACGTTAAAAAAAAAGAAGCCACCTCTTCCTCTGGGCCTCGTCCCAAATCCAGAATAGTAATAATAAAAAAATGTTGCTCCTGGTTTTGTACTGGGAAGAGACGGAGTTGTTTGCTTTCTCCTCCTTGGCAAAGGCAAGTGAGAATTTCATGTGCAATTACTATGCGAGAGCAAGCAGGCACTGGCCCAATGTCTCCTCCCCCCCTGCAAGATGGTGTAAGGCAGGTTCCAGCATTACATCCATCTAAATGCCAAGAGAGCCCAACCCCAGCCTTGGTCTCCTTCCATGTGGGGCTAGCCGATAGGAGCCTCATCGGAATCTGCCTGGGGAAAAGAGATGAGTCTACAGTTGGTGGAGGAGCCAAAAGAGCAGGCAGTGTGTGAACAAACTGCGAGTGAGGCCTCCTTACACCTCAGACATGGCTTCCCATCAAGTTCAGGGAAAAAAGGAGCTAGGGACATTTTGTTGTTGTTAATAAACACACGATTTAAAAAAACAAAGCACACCCATTTTACACGAAGCCTCCGCGTGATCATCAGAGGCTGTTTTTTTTTTTTTTTTACTTTTAAAAGCATTTTTTCTACAAACCTCTTCGGTCGAAAAAATGCTTTTAAAAGTAAAAAAAAAAAAAGCCTCTGATGATCGCGCAGCTCAGCTGGGATCGTCAGAGGCTTTTAAAAGCATTTTTCCTACAACCTCTTCGGCCGAAAAAATGCTTTTAAAAGTTAAAAAAAAAAAAAAAGCCTCTGATGATCGCGCGGCTCAGCTGGGATCGTCAGAGGCTTTTAAAAGCATTTTTCCTACAACCTCTTCAGCCGAAAAAATGCTTTTAAAAGTTAAAAAAAAAGCCTCTGATGATCGCACGGCTCAGCTGGGATCGTCAGAGGCTTTTCAAAGCATTTTTTCTACAACCTCTTCGGCCGAAGAAGTTGTAGAAAAAAAAATGCCTTTAAAAGGAAAAAAAAAAAGCCTCTGACGATCCCAGCTGAGTTGCCTGATCGTCAGAGGCTTTTAAAAGCATTTTTTTTTCCTGCAACCTCTTCAGCCGAAGAGGTTGTAGAAAAAATGTTTTTAAAAATAAAAAAAAAAGTTGGCCACGCCCACCCAGTCACATTGCACACACACCCCCTCCCAAGCCATGCCCACAGAACCGGTAGTAACAAATTTTAGATTTCACCCCTGCTGAAGGAAACAATGGATCAAACGCCTGCCTTTTAGGATGGCAGCTATGCTCCAAGGGCAAAAGGAAAGGAGCAAACCAGGCGTACCCCAGAGAGGTGTGAAATGGGGAGGGGGAGGAGAAGGGGACCTCCCCAGTCTCCCCAATTGCTCCCAAGCTGATTTTCACCTCTTGTACCCCCAGTCTGTATGTCATGGGGATGCAGTGGCTCAGTGAGCTTGTCGATCGAAAAGTCGGCAGTTCAGCGGTTCGAATCCCTAGCGCCGCGTAACGGGGTGAGTAGGAAGCAAGTAGGAAAATAGGGACCACCTTTGGTGGGAAGGTAACAGTGTTCCGTGCGCCTTTGGCATTTAGTCATGCCAGCCACATGACCACGGAGACGTCTTCGGACAGCGCTGGCTCTTTGGCTTTAAACGGAGATGAGCATCACCCCCTGGAGTCAGGAACGACTAGCACATATGCGCGAGGGGAACCTTTACCTTTACCTTTTACCCCAGTCTGAGATACTCTTTCACCTGTTGTAGCCCAGTCTGAGGTACTATGTCAGGAGATCCCGGGGGTTGAGGTAGAGGAAGAAGCATGTACACTGTGTGTGTGTGTATCTCTCTCTCTCTCTCTGTGTATGTTCACGTGTGTGTGTGTGGGGAAGAAAGTGATGATTAAAATGTGGTTGGTTCACTTTTTTTCAAATGTACCTTTCGGTTTTTCCTACGACTGTTGCAAAACATGTACAGACAGTTTGATGTTGACAATTACGAAGCTTTACGTGGAAAATTAAACTGCATTTTACCTGTGAATGCTAAACCTTGTAATTAGGCCAGGCTAATTAGGAATCCCCCCCTCCCTTGGTGTCTGTGGAGGGGCTACCCTTGAAGGTTGTTTGAGGCTAGAAACGAAGAGGAGACGGAGCATCCGTCTGTCCTAGCTACATCAAGCCTTCTGTGTTCCTCCAGATGTGCTGCATCTGGGGGATTTATAGCCCCATTCTGGGGTGGGCTGCTGGGGGTTCGCAACGGTTCAGGAGAACCTCTAGCTAAGATTCTGTGCAGTTTGGAGAACCTCCAAATCCCACTTCTGGTTGGCCCTGGCCACCCCTCCCCTCCCAGGAGTCCCCACGTGGCCTGTTTTGGATGCAGGTAGGTGCAGGGCACGCACAGAGGCTCCGGGAGGGCGAAAAATGGGCCTACCGGAAGTTCAGGAAGGCCGGAAATGGGCCCGTTTCCAGCCTCCAGAGGACCTCCGGTGCCTGGGGAGGCCGTTTTCACCCTCCCGGAGGCTCGAGAAAAACCTCCGGAGCCCGGGGAGGGCAAAACGCCCCCTCCTCGCCGTGGTGCAGGAGGCAGACTAGGCCATGCCCACCATGGCCACACCCACTCACCAACCGGGCAGAGAACCCCTGTCTAAAATTTTTGAAGTGACATCAATCCAATGTACTACCAGGTCCATATATCCCAATGTGATTTTTATTTTAAACCATCAGAGCAGTGGTGAAATCCAATTTTTTTTACTACCTGTTCTGTGGGTGCGGCTTGGTGGGCGTGGCGTGGCAGGGGAAGGATACTGCCAAACCTCCAATCCCACTCCACTCCAGGGGAAGGATACTACAAAATCCCCATTCCCTCCCCACTCCTGGGGGGGAAGGATACTGCAAAATCTCCATTCCCACCCTACTCCAGGGGAAGGATACTGCAAAATCCCCATTCCCTCCTCACTCCTGGGGGAAGAATACTGCAAAATCTCCATTCCCACCCTACTCCAGGGGAAGGATATTACAAAATCTCCATATCCACCCCACTCCTGGGGGAAGGATACTGCAAAATCTCCATTCCCACCCTACTCCAGGGGAAGGATACTACAACATCCCCATTCCCTCCTCACTCCTGGGGGAAGGATATTGCAAAAATCTCCATTCCCACCCCACTCTGGGGCCAGCCAGAGGTGGTATTTGCCGGTTCTCCAAACTACTCAAAATGTCCGCTACCGGTTCTCCAGAACCTGTCAGAACCTGCTGGATTTCACCCCTGTACCAGAGGGTAAATATTCTTTTGCCTACATTACATGGACCCTGTGCCTTTGCAAGAAAGGTGTGTACCGAGATGTTCTCTGTTGCCATTTTATGGTTACATAACTCTGGAGGTTTGCCAGAGTATGAATGCATTTTCCAGAGAAGTTGTTTTTAAAAAATAAAAATAAAATAAATCTTTTTAGAGTGTCTCTGGCATTGGTGCAATATGTTTGCGGTTAACTGGGGGAATATTTTGTATCTTGGATGACTGCAGTTTAAATATGTGTATCCATGTAATGTAATTTGGCTTGAGCTCTGCAAAGTGCAGGATATTTATTGGAAGCCGGCGATAGCGCTTCGAAGGCGTGATCCCACTCCCCACACTGGAGAAAAATGAAAGTGTTAAGCTGAGCAAGGAATGGACGAATCTGCAAAATCTGCTTCATGCTGTTCCTTCCGAGTTCCTTCCACTGTTGCACTTGTGAAAATTTGGGAAATTCTTATATATATAAAAAAAATGTCTCAAACGGAATGGGATTTTTCACACCTCTGTACAAAACAGTTCCCAACTCAGAGACAACAATTCTTCGACACGGAGTAATTCATAAAGAAGTGTTGTTATTGATTGGACCATGCAGGGGGTGGGCTCCTGGGAGTTCGGCAGGGTTTGGGCGATCCTCTAGCCAAGGATCGCCGGGATTCAACGAATCCCCAAATGCCACCCCTGGCTGGGCATCCCGCCCCTCCCAGGAGTCTCCACGCAGCCTATTCATCATTCCAGGTAAGTGCGTGGGGCCGTGTGGAGGGTCTGGGAGGGCAAAAAATGGGCATAAGTCCAGAAACGGGTCTGTTTCCAGCCTCCGGAGGGCCTCCGGACCTCAGGGGAAGCAGTTTTTACCCTCCCGGAGGCTGAAGAAAAGCCTCCGGAGCCTGGGGAGGGCAAAAACTACCCTGCCCTGCCGTGGTGCAGGCAGCCAATTAGGCCACACCCACCATGGATTCCTCTATGCAAAATTACCCACAACATTCTTAAAATTCCGAACATGCCCACTAGCTCCAAAAGATCGAAGCCCCCCGAGAAAGAAACTAAATCCTAAATCCCCTCCTTGAAGAAATCTCTTCTGTTTTCTTGGGAGGGGGAAAAAAAGTCTTTTCTCCCACATGTTTGAAAACTCGTATTTGTTCTGTCTCAAGTGTTTCTCAACCTCGGCAACTTGTAAGATGGATGGATTTCAACTCTGGCTGGGGAATTCTGGGAGCTGAAGTCCACCCATCGTAAAGCTGCTGAGGTGTGAGAAACATTATTCTCGCTCGGGAGTGTCAAATTTGATTTCATTGAGGGCCACATCAGGGTTGTTTTTGACCTTGGGCATGGCTAGCTCGACGTCACTCGTGTCGGGGTGCCTGATGCAGCCCGAGGGCTCTGCCAGCGAAAACGGGCTCCTGAGCTCCGTTTCTGGCTGTGACAGCCTCCTGCAACCCTCTGCCACAGCGGTAAAATCCGGCCGGATCTATTCGGTTCGCACGAACTGGTAGCGCCGGCGGCGGGAGGCTCCGCCCACTCTCCGGGATGTCATTACATCCCAGTTTTGACCCTCTGTTCATGTACAGAAGGCTCTGCATATGTGCAGAAGAGGCCAGCGCGCTCACATTCCCGAACCAGTAGCGAAGGTAAGTGCATTTCACCGCTGCTCTGCCAGCGAAAATGGAGCTCCTGAGGGCAGCTCTCCCCAAGCTCCGTTTTCGCTGGCAGAGGCACTGTGGGCCAGTCCTTCGCTGTTTCCAGAGTGGCCCCACAGGCCAGAGCTAAGCACCCCGCACGCCGGATCCAGGCCCGGGGTCTTGAGTTTGATACCCCTGTTCTACCTCATTTATTGAAACCATCTGAGAGTTTTTGAAAAGCTTTCTTAAATACAAAAG